AAACCCTCAAAATCCCAAACACCTCTAGACGCCTTCCTAAATTCCTAATCCCTCAAACAATGCAGTTTTTCTGTGCGGAAACTCCAACTTTTTCGCCACCAATTTGCTGTTCCTCCAAGCCATCAAGGGTATAGTAAAAAATATCATAATTCATTGGACATCTTTCTTTTCTTTCATAATTTTTTGTGCAACTTTATACATATTAGTCAAAGATTCTAGTCGGACAATATTTTTATTTAATTGTGATATAAGTCAATTTGAAAAAAAAAAAAGGTTAAAGTAGATTACAAATATTATTTTCTTATGCAAGTTTGAAAATTTAAGCAATAGTACTGGAACCAGACCAAATCGAACTAGAACCAAATGGTTCGGTTTGGTTCGGTATCGCATCTTAAAAAAAACTATTTGATTCCATTATCAAAAAAATTATTGGTTCATGGTTCAGTTCGATTCTCTTGGAATCAGAACCAAATGGAACCACGTCCACCCCTACATTTTATCCACACATTAGGATCCATGACTTACTATTCACTTACTCCCTCCACCCCCATAAAGATAAATTTATTTCTATTTTCACACAAATTAAGAAAATATAATTTATTCCTACGATTTTCCTAATATAGCACCTGCATTAAATAATTGTTTAAATATAACTGATTTATATTCGTTAATAATAAGTTACATTAAAAAGAAACATATTAGAAAACTAAAGAATATCTATACTTTCAATAAAGAAATTGACTTATAATTTGGGATATAAAAAAAAAAAAAAAAATTAAGCCTATTTTTATGGAGCAAATGTAGTATTATCTACATATTGAATAATGCTACTTGGGACACACCTACCCAAAAATAGTATTTGTAGTATTTTTTTTTAAACCTAATAAAATTTATTATTTTCTCTTGGAAATGAAGAAGAGCAAAAGAATTATGAGTCCAATTAATTAAGGTCAAAGGCTTAATTATAGTATTTTAATTTGTTTCATAGTAATTAATTATGATTAACAATAGGAACTCGACAAAAGTCATGCAGGAATTAAAGATTCCCCTTGTTGTTTATTTTCGAGTAGGCAAAACTATGATGTTCGTTAAATTCCCTGTACAATTTTTATTAGTTAAATAATATATTTAATTTTATCAGGTTGAGAATCCATGTTTTTTTAAGAAGCACAAATATCCATTCATTTATATAGTTAATTTCTTTTATGTTATATCAAATTCCACAAAATCGATTCTTCTATGCAATTGCACGTGCATACACATAAGGTTTTTTTTTTTTTTAAAATCTTCGCTAGTTTGAAATCACTTCATTCAATCCCGTCCCAACATAGTGGTTTGCTTTTTAATTTTTGGAATGATCGACTTGCTCCTTGCTTCTTCGTTGATCCACAAAAAGAACATATGAAAATCATCAAGAATACTTATCATGTGTACGTTCAACCCCAATATTATCTCGTAGATTTAGAGTTTTGAAAAGCGAATGGCATTGCTTCTTGTTCTTTATTTCTTCAATAGGATGACATTGAATTCCTTTTTACATTTTTTGCATTTATGGGGCAAAAGGAACTCTCGTGTTGAAAGAAAGATTTTGTTGAGTTGCTAGAGAGCATTTATAGGGTAAATGATTGGACCCACCTCACTTGGCTAAAGAGCATTAACAAATTTAAACTCTTTCGTGACTAAGGTTGACTAGATCAATTTCTTTACTATCTAATATGAGCTTGCTTTGTGTCACAGACCACATGACAGCTTAGAGTAACGCGGATAACATTTGAACAAGAATGCAGTGAATTGAGGGCTTGTTGGGGAATGATTTTAATCCAATTAAAATTGAAAATATAACCGTTATTGGGTCCCACCCGTCTAATAAAAGTCAACAATAACGGCTCATTTTTCAATTTTAATCCAATTTTAATCATTTCCAAACAAGCTCTGAATTACATACACATAAGTTACACATGCGAGGTGCACTTTGAAAAAATACTAGATAAGAGTATAAAAATGGCGATTTCTTTGTAACTTTTGAGTTGTAATTTTCAATCTTTTTAAGATGGATTTTACATGTAACACTGCCTTTTTTTTTTTTAACTATTTTATTAAATGCACATCGTCGTACATAATCATTTGAATAATATTGAATCCTTTCTATCTTTTACTTTCAACTGCATAAGAAAAAATTGTATACGACCTTAGACCCAATACAACTTCGACTAGCATAGACTATATCTATAGATTGTGTTTGGAATGAAATTTTGTTCACATATTCGGCTAGGTCCAACATGCCTACAATCTTGACCCATGTTATAAGTCGCACCAAA